CCCAACTGAAATAAAAAGGATCATAACAGAATATTATGAAAAACTATACTCCAACAAATTTGAAAACCTAGAGGAAATGGATAAATTTCTAGAAACATTAAAGGAGAAATCTAGGACTGCATAACCTGTTAGGAAATTATCCATATACTGCACAGGCCTTCTAGAGATTCCCTTGGATAACTCTGATTGGATTTTGTTTTGCTGATAGTTCATTCTTAAAAAGCAAACCTGACAATTGTCCAACAGGTTCTGCCATCATAGACCCGAATTCACCCTTGGACTGTAAATCTCTCACAGAATTTAAATCAATTCAGATGGTGAATTGCACTCACTTGGACCTGCCAGCTGGCAGAAGATTAAAGACAAATACGTAGAGATGATTTGCAGGTTAGATGAAGACGTCAAAATATTTTGATGACCAAAAGGCTTATAACAATACTGAGGTGCTATTAGGCAGAATGAAGATAGTTTTGGAGTCATCCCATTCAATATGAAGCTGCACTGAGGAGATAGGGAGAAGAAACAGAAGGGATCAAAGCTGAGTCATAAAAAGAGACAAAGATAAGAAAAGCAGGCTAATACTGTGCCCTCAGAGGTCAAGAGAAGAGAGAATAAGGAAGGAGTGACAAATGCTGCAGAACAGTCAGAGGACAAGGACTAAGAAAGTGTCACCAGATTTCGTGAAAAGGTTTACACTGACCTTGGAAAACCTGATTTCAGCAGACTGCTGCTGATGAGCATATACTACAGAGGTTTCATACTGAGCAGATCATGAAGACAATGTTGACTGACTGCTATAAACTTGGCAACACAGAGGGACCAATGCACGCTTCTGAGTCTAACTCATCATCCAGGCCTTATCAGTGCTTTGAAAACCATTCCCACTGCAATGAAATCATCCACCTTACCTGGGAAAGGCACAAAGGCATGCCGCATGCTAATGGAAAATGGCATCCCTCTGTCAGAGGCTCTCTCTTCCAGCCGTGCCTGCTGCCCAGGGTTCAGGTTATAACCCCTTTTATTTCCTCCTCTGTGGTGCAAACAACATTGTCAGCTGGACACCAAACAGACTCAAGTATATAAAAAAGGCCTGATTTTCAGTAAAATCAATATTTCCATTTAAGAAACTTAGAAACAACCTTATTATCTGAGGCTCACTTTAAAGCTTAACAATGATACTAGACCTATTTTAGCAAATGTTCAATTAAACATTCAGTAAGATACGTCTGTAATAACCTTTCTCACAAACTAGTTCTGAGGAAATTCACTGACATTTAACTTCACTCAACAAAGCTCTTTGACTGTATCAACTATAAATTATCTCTGTGCTTATTGTGTGTGTGGCTGGAGAAGCTCTTCCCTTTAGAGTATCACTTAAATATGCATACAGTACTGGTTGATACAATTAGTGGCCAAAATTTTCAGCCTTTCACCATCAACTACTAGCTTCTTTACAGAGACTCAGAATCTGAAATGTGTAGCGCCTAGAAGAGAAAATTAAACTAATTTCATTATTTTGTCCAATAGGTTATTTTTGAGCCATTCATACTGGCAAAAGTATATTAAAACATATGGCAAAAGTCTATCAAAACATATACAGAGAAGTAGAGCCTACCTGCCCATAGGAAGCACTCCTTTGCCTAGGGCTTGGGAAGGTGGGCTTTCCCCTACTAGTGTTAGCATTTTAATCTCGAAATCTTTTGGTACATTCTGAATATTTGGGTCTGTGAAGGTTATTCGTCCTAAAATCAAGCAGAATAAAGAACACATTAAAATTAGAAAATAAAACGTCGGACTTTTATTGTAACAGTAATTGCATTTCTGAATTATCTTAAAAATGCATATTCTATCATTGCTTGTTGCTGTTAGTCACCATTGAGTCCGCGCTGACTTACGGCAACCCCATGTGCACAGAGTAGAACTGCTCCATAGGGCTTTCAAAGCTGCGACCTTTCAGGAGCAGATCACCAAGCCTGTCTTCCAAGATGTCTCCAGGTGGGTTCAAAGCGCCAACCTTTCAGCTAGTACTCGAGCACTTAATTCTTTGCAACACCCAGGGACTCCTCTATCATTGCTAAACTAAAAAAAGAAAAATTTGATATTTAAATGAAATATTTTTATCATGTTCATGCATCTAAAGATGATAAAATAAGTACAAGACCAATCCTAATATAAATAAGCATGAATCAGCTACAATACCATGTTTTACATTAACCTAGCTCTCTAGAAAACAATCTTATGATAAGAATTTGATATATTGAACTATTCCTAAGATATAGCTGTGAGTACCAGATGTCAGCACTATAAACAGTGTTAGTGGTTGTATTAATTACAACTACAAATACAAGGCAAATTAAACAGATCCTAGAAGAAATGACTATTGAAGACTCTAAAAGCCGAGAATACACAAGATAGAACAGGATCTGGAGAAGAACAACAACTGGGACCAGAGAATTAGCTAATGCAAGAGACAGAATTGCAGTGAGATGTGGTGACTGAAATATCATTTTCAAGACACCACCTGGACTGTTTTTTTCATCACCATTATCACTCCTCATGAGAATCGACGGTAACACTGACATGGTTGGAAACTAGAATTGGTAGGTTAATGAATCTTCCAGTAAACAATGATTTGTTGTAACATTGATAGCTTTTGTTTTTCCTCCGTTTTCTTTTTTATTTTTTTTTAACATGTCACCTGTTTACTTATTGGTTGAATTTTTCTAAAACACAGTAAGTATTGTTCAAAAATACGTTTGTGTTATTAATTTTGTTACTGCAGTTTTTATGACACACATATAGTGACACTAAAACCTTCTGTTTTATGATACATTCTTTATTATAGCAGTCTCTCTAATAAGTATATCATTTCGTCTTTTGACGAATCAGATATTTTAAGTGGTTAGACATTGTTTTTGTGAATAAATCCCTGATATTCTGTCCTTGTCATTTAGCTTTTAGCACAAAGTAAGTGCTCAATTAACGACAGCTCTTATTACAATGGGGCCGTGTTGGCACAGTGGTTAAGCATTTGGCTGCTAACCAAAAGACTGGCAGTTCGAATTCACCAACCACTCATTGGAAACTCCACAAGGCAGTTCTACTCTGTCCTATAAGGTCACTATGAGTCACAATCGACTCAATGGCAATGGGTTTGGGTTTTCTGTTTTGTTTTTATTATTATAATTATTATCATTATAACTATTTAGCCTGTTCAATGAAAAAGCTAACCAATAGCAGAGGAAGGTGTCCATTGTTTTTACTACCTCAGCACACTGTCTCTTTTTTCTATAACTATTCAGTATAATGCCCTGGACAGTAAAAAAAAAAATTACAAAGCACAAGTGTAGTTTCATGGAAATGAATTCTAATAATGAAATGACATTGCTATGTACTTCTAAAATATTCTTTAAATGTCGGCATAGTATAAAGAAAACTAATCAGAAAAAAAGAATTATCTTCTACTTTATAAGCAACAAATAAATGTGTAACACTTTTAAAAACTCTAAGTTGATTTGTTTTTCCATCACCAAGGATTTTATTTTACACCAGTTTACAGCATTAGTATATGTTTCAAAAGGAAATATAAATAGCAACAGGCTAAGAAACTCTCGGCTAAGATGGACCAAGAGTTTAAGGAACTAGGGGAAAAGGAAGAGTTGGAAGTTGTTCAGATCAGGGAATAAGAAAACAGAGAGAAAGGCAGCTCCTCGTGGCGCCTCCTCCCCTAACAGCAATAACTGATAATGAGCACTTTCCATGCGCATCTACTACCCTAAACACCTTACATGTATTAATCTACTTAATCTTCAGAATGACCTGGTGAAGTAGGGCTATTATCACCTTGTTTCATACACAAGGAAACTTAGGCACTGAGAAGTTAAGTATCTTGCCTAAAGATTCGGAATACCAGGATCCAAATCTTGTAAAAGTCTGATTTCAAAGCCCACATTCTATACCAAGAATCTAAACTGCCTCTCTTATGATGGAGTAACACAACCCTTTCTTCCACTGCACGTTATGTCTGGCAAGTATTTTGAGTTTGGACTGCCTAGCAAAGTATATAAGGAGCTCTGGTGGCACAGTGGTTAAGTGCTTGGCCGCTAACCAAAGGGTCAGGGTTCGAACCTACCAGCATCTCCACAGGAGAAAAGACCTGGTGATCTGTTCCCATACAGATTACAACCTAGAAAATTCTATGCATGGTTCTACTCTGCCACATAGAGTCTCTATGAGTCGGAATAAACTTGACAGCACACAACAACGACAGGGAAAGAATGTTTTTTCTCTCACCAGAATACCTTATACCTAACCCAACAGGGCTATGTGACACCCAAAGCACTCTGAAGCTTGAGTAAAATACGATGCTCAGTTATTATACAGATGTCCCAGAGGTCCACTTAGATTTAACTTGGGGGAGAATCTTAAAAGGCTCAGGAGAGGGCTGGGATCAAAATTAGGTAAGATTACTGACTCAAATAAATGCAAGGTTAAGTCAAAAAGTATTGCTACTAGAGTTCCAGTTCATACATGCACGGGTTTATTCCAAACAAAACGTGTTTAAACAGTCTCTGCAATCAGTGGATGGCTGCAGACAAGTTCTCTCAGTAATACACTTATCTTAGTCTCGTTAGGGTGCCTTCAAAAAAAAATAATTTTTGTGCCATGGAAAAAAACAATTTTGAGGTCAGGGTTAATATCAAATTTTAAACAAAACTCAAGTGAACATCTTCCCAAATCACGGAAGCTTTGCAACAAGTTTATGGGAATGCTGCCCCACATGAAACAACAGTTTTTAGATGGATCAAGCATTTTAAGGAAGGTCGGGAGGACCTCAAAGATGAGCCAAGAGAGGGAAGACCTCTCAGCAGGTTATGGCGACTTCTTTGGGATTCCAAAGGGTGATCTTGATAGATTTTCTCGAAGGACACAGGATGATCATGGGGGCTTATTACGAAGAAGTTTTAAGAAAACTGAAAACTGCATTGGTGAGAAAAAGGCCAGAAAAGTTGCAATGAGGAATTTTTTTCCATCACGACACTGCACCTGCTCATTCTTTGAAGGTAGCAAAGGGTGTCCTATGAGAATTTCCTTAGGAAACCTTACCCCATCCACCCTACAGCTCTGATCTTGCCCCTTCAGACTTCTTTTTGTTCCCCAAACTCAAGGAACATTTAAAAGGAACACAATTTGGGTCTCTCCAGCATGCCAAAACTGCTGTTTTGATGTGGTGTAAATCAAAGAGCATAGAACTCTCTGGTGAAGGGATACAGATGGAAACATCGCCTTCAGAAGTGTATAGACATAGATGGAGGATATGTCAAGAAACAATAGCTTCACATTTTGATATTTTTGTTTAATAAAGGTTTCTATGATTTTGTAGCAATATTTTTTGACTTACCCTCATATTTAATTCCTGTATATTCTCTCATCCAAAGCACTGTCTCAGATATTTCAGTTACTCTATGTAATACTTGAAAGAAGGAACTCTATCTTACTAAAATTCATCTCTGACTCTGGGTAGCATCTATGACTTGCTTGTAATATGTGTTTGATAAATGTCTGTGGAGCTTCATCAATCCCAGTGATGAACACTTGAATTCCTTACTCATCATAAGCAAATATAAAAAAAATTTTCTTTCAAAATTGGATATTATTCTTATTAAGATTTCTCATCACCTGTAGCAGTGTGTGATTGTGATACTGGATAGATTCTTTCCATTCCAAGAAAAGGATTCAGACGCAGTTCCCGCTGCAGGGGAAAGACCACTTTGGTAATAGCATTACTGATTCTTCTCCACTCTAATATCAAGCCTGGTAAAGGGTGTAGTGCCTTTAATTTATTTAGAACATCCTGCCAAAGCAATAAAACAAGGTAAGATTGGATTCTTGCTCCTATTCCATAGCAAACTAGAATCTCTTTTAGCTAAATAACTTAAGATTTGATAAATCCTGCATCTACAACTCAAAATCACTGTTTGGGGTTTGTCGGGAGTCACCATGATAAAACTATGACAACTATAATTTATAAAATGTAAACATGTTAATTCTGAGTAACAGTAATTTAGATCTACCTTTATAAAAATATCAATAAAATGTCAACTTAGCAAAGTTATTGTCTCCCCACTCTTCACCCAAGAGCTTTCTCTATGCATTTTCCTTCTCCACTCCTCACGTATTTGGAAGCTTCCCAGTTTTTTTCCTTCTTGCCCTGACACCTTCATGGTTTCCGCACCAAGGAAATCAGAAGAGATTTATTTTTGAACACTTTGAATTTTCCATGCATAAACATTCAATGAACCATTAAGGAATAGAAATGTGTGAGGTAAAAGCTCCAGTGAGATCAAATAAATGGATGTTCTACAGCATGGTGATGTGGTAACTCCAAAGGGCAGGCAAGTCATAGCTAGTGGTACTAGGGTCAAAACTCTACACACTAGCACAGCCCTCCAGGACTGCGGTGGCTGTCCATTCTACCCTTACTGTTTCATTAAAACTTCATTCAGTAAAAATATGAAAATAAGCCCTTCTTCTCTTCTCTCCCACTACTGCATACACTTTCTATGGACTGTGACTAGCCATTTGACTTTGAAATTAGCAGATCAGATTCTTAAAGCTATAAAAGGCTTACTGGTTAGGTTCTGGAACTGAAAAAAAATGTTTTACTTGTATTGGCTATTGTTTTCATTTCCATTTTAAATTCTTCCATATCTTTGCTCATGTTCATATAATTTCATACAAACTATATTGTACTAGAAGCCCAAGAATAATGAATGGCAAAAATTAAATAATGTCTACAGTTCTGAATTTAAAAATCTTTATACTGTTATAATGATAGGAAGGACCCAATTACTAACTCATAAACTCGTTGCTGTCGAGTCGATTCTAACTCCTAATGACCCTATAGGACAGAGTAGAACTGCCTCATGGGGTTCCCAAGGAGCAGCTGGTGGATTTGAACTGCTGACCTTTTGGTTAGCAGCTGTAGCTCTTAACCACTGCACCACCAGGGCTCCACTAACTCATAGTATGGGCCACATTTTCCATGTTGGAATGTCTCCACAGTTTTTGTGGACTACTGAACTAAAAATCGATTTGTTTTTATCTGGAAAGGTTCAAATGGTGAGAGACTGGCTATGTGGGATCTTGATTTTATCAACATTCTTGCAAATCAAAATACTAAAAGCAGTTCAGATTCTGCCCTGCAACAGCACCTTACTAGTGCTGAGCTGTTTGCCCAGCCTTAGGTTGTGCCCATTGTCACGCCCTCTTCTGGTAGAGCCCAAAGTTTTCTTGCCGCCTTGGTTTTTCATCTCTCCATTTGGTGGCAACTTCAATTCCAAAAATAAAACCTGTAAGAAATTAATGCTTCTTTAGTCAATAATCAAATCACAGGTACCATCATTAAGAAAATATTTTAAAAGTTATTTGAGACAGCAATCTCTACAGTTCAACATGGGCTAGAAAAATGTTTCTTTTGGACAATTTGGAATTATCACATTTAATAAATGATGGCAGTGAGAATTTATATACTATGTAGACTGCCCATAACCTAATTTAGGCACTATCAGATTAATACTAACACTAGGCTTTTAAACAGTCAAGAGCACAGCAATGTATATTCCATGGTGAGTAATTGGTGAATAAGCTATTGACAATGAGACTCTGGTGCCTCTGAGGATTGTAAGCTCTACTAAATAACCCTTGAATTGGTAACCAACATGGCTACTCAATTATCTAAGCCCCACAGAAGGTCAACATCATGAACACTATGGGAGCCTACATGGCTATCGTGTGAGCACAGAATCAGAGAACGCTAAAGTTAAAAGGTGTTCAGAAAGTCACCTAGTCCCACCACCATAGGGATGAACTCTGAGAGTGCCTGGGAACAAGAAGTTAGAAGGCCACAGACCCAGTGGGGCAACACAGGACCTATACAGGGCAGGGATTCAGGCTCTGTGGAAGAGGATGACCCAATATAAACCTAAAACTCACTAGTTCAAATTACAGGGGTTATAACTCAGGAAATTCAGGACACTATCTTCTATATCTACTCATTCATGTATATACTAAGTAGACTTTAGTGAACCCTGAGTTATTTTCTCAGTAATAATTCTAAAAATTGAAACTATTTGCATAAATGCAAGAATTTTTTCAACATGTTGGGCTGGGGGTGAAGGAAAGGATATGCCTGTGCTTCCCTAGACCAGTACTGACCAGGGATTTGAACTGGTTCAAACCAGTTCAGTCATGGCTAACGAAGCAAAATTGGAACAGACCCGAATTTTCACAATTTAGCTGATCGGCATGGTAACCGGAATAGGAAAAATTATGGGTTGAAGCTAGATAGTAAATAGAGTCTAGATAGTACCACGAACCTTTTCAGGAGCCTGATGTGTGAGATTGGATTTTGCCAGGACTGCAGAGAGCAACACACATTCAAAGCAGCATGGCTGGCTGCCATCTTTGAGCAGGACACCACTGTTTCTGCCTCTTTGCAAAATCAGACACACGGAAAATTTGGTTGCTAGGCAACACATATGCTGTCCTTGTTTTCTAAGAGGGAGACTAAGTTTCCAGCAGAGCTTCAACCCATAATTTGTCCCATTCCAGTTACTGTTCCAGTTCACCCAAATTCTGAAAATTTAGATCTGTTCCAGTTTCACTGACTCAGCTATGAATGAACCAGGCAGATTCAGTTTGAGCCCTGGCAGTGACAAAGACAGGATTTCAGCTTCAAGTAGTGTGAATAACTGGAGTCTTAGGAATGAAAGATATTGAGGCCTACTGTGGATGTTAATAATTTTTTTTTACCAAAGAATTATGTGATATAGACATGAACATAGGCATATATAGGGATTAGGGTTGCCACATTTAGCAAATAAAATTTCAAGATGAATTGCATGGATATACTAAAATATTCTTTGTTTATCTGAAATTCTAATATAATTCAGCATCCTGTATTTTATCAGGCAACACTAATATGGATATCAAAGGATATATGAGTGGCAAGTTAGGAGACAGAAGGAAAGAACTGCATAGGAAAAATGAAACATTATTAAAGTAATAATACATCAACAATTCCAGGAAGGGAGGTTTATCATGACTAAAACAACACAAAGGCCTCAAGTTATATACTTAAAAGCTTTTTAATCTTAAGTGTGTATTTTTGGTGAAGCCTTCAAAATTGCTTTTGAAAACTTTACATATTAATTAACCCCCTAGGTCTCAATTAGGGTGGCACAGTAGTTAAAGCACTCAATAAAATGTTCGAACCCACCAGCCACTTCGCGGGAGAAAGATGGGGCTGTCTGCTTTCATAAAGATGTACAGACCTTTCATAAAGACTCACCCTATGGGGCAGTTCTATTCTGTCCTATAGGGTCACTATGCATCAGAATCAACACAACGGCAGTGGGTACTGTAGTTCAATTAACACATCAGTGAAATGAGCAGGCTGAGCTAGATGGGGGTAAGAGGCACTAATATTTATTGAGCAATTAATATGTGCCAGTCATTATGATAGGTGTTTTAACCTGTGTTATCACATGTAAACTTTATAACAACTCTATGACAAATCTGAAAGTTTAAATAGGATTAGAGAGTTAAGAAACGTGCTCAAAGTTGCATGGCCAGAAAGTAGTGGAATAAGAATTAGAGCCCAAAGCTTTTTAAGTTTAAAATCCTTTTTCTTTACACTAACCCATGTTGTCCTCTAGACCACAGGTTGGCAAACATTTTCTGTAAAGGGCTAAATAGTAAATATTTTCAACTTTGCAGGTTTTACTATCTCTGTTAACTACTCAACTCTGCTGTGATAGAACAAAAGCAGCCATAAACAATACATAAATAGGCATGGCTGTGTTTCAATAAAATTTTATTTACGAAAACAGGCAGCGGAATGGATCTGGCCTGCAGTCCATAGTTTGCTGACCCCTGTTTTAGACCACTTCTCTCCAACAGAACCATCTGCAACAATGGAAGTGTACTAGATTTACAGTATCTAATATGGCAGCCACTAGTCACATGTGGCTACTGAGCACTTGAAATGTGGCTAGCACAACTAAGGAACTGAATTTATAAATTCTATTTAATTTTAACTAATTAAAAATAAAATAGTCACAAATGGCTAATGACTCCTGTATTGGACAGTGTAGCTCTAGACAATTAGTAATAGTGTGCCCAGTTCAAAGATTCAAATTAAAATCACAAAGGGTCAAATAGTAAATGTGTAAAACTGTTAAATCACCTTAAATATCACTTCTACTTTAGAATGAAGACTTAAGAAACAAACCAGTAACATTAAAGGCCTTTTACTCTAGTCCAGAGTTTGGTCTAGGCCAATGGTTCACATGCCTTAGTACCCATCTGACTCAAAAAGGCACCAATTTCTGCCTTTGCCCCAGACCTACCTGTGCTGACACCTAGAGATTCTATATTTTTGATAAGTTCCCTAGGTAATTTTATGTGTAATCAGCTAGATTACTGGGGACTGCTGGGCTAAAGAATTCATAATAAAACACAGAAAAATACAAAAAACAAACAAACAAACCAAAAAAACCTACTCGATTCAATACAAACGTACCATGTAATTAAGAGAAACATAATTCCTCCTTTTCTCTAAAACATGTAACTCTGTAGCTTAAAAAGACACCTTTATAAGAACATATAACATTTACCGGATACTTACTATGTGCGGGGCACTATTCTAAGTGTTTTACATTTACTTTATCATTTACTCCTCACAACAACTCTATGACATAATTCTCTTACCGCATTTTACAGATGAAGAAATTGATACATGAAGAGTTGATGCACTGGTCTAAGGTCAGGGAGCTAGCTAGTAAGTAGAGGACGTGGGATTCAAACCCAAGCAGTCTGGCTCTAAAGCTGCTGATCTTTACTAAGACCCTGTATTACTGAATAACATCTAGGAGACACAGGAGCTTCAATGTCATCTAGTGTTAGCATCCACCCCCATGTCTGCAGCAACTCTACAACAACCCAACCATCCTTTGAAGGGAAGAAGTGTGGGAAGAGGAGAGGACAGAACACCAAACTTTGATAATAAAACAAGACTAAGCTGTCAAAATTTATGTAAGGTGGTAAAAATCTTAATTAAATTTACAAAAGAAAACTCACAAAAATCTTTCTTTCATCTACTTCTGAGAAAAATATCTAATTTTCTAGTTCTTCAGAAAGTGGGGAAAAGGTGAGGGTTCATAAACTAACTACTTTCATGGATAAACAGCTACACTGTTACACAACTACCACTGAAGATCCCTCCTTCAGCGAATATTCCTGAGTGCCTCCTTTGTTCTAGGCAACTCTCTTCGTGGAGTTCATATTCTAAGGGACTTTTTTTTTTTTTTTTTTTTTTTACTACTTTCCATTTTCATAAATATAGACGTAACTATAAATTAGATGCTAGAATATCCTATTCCCAAAGAATTCTGGTTAACAGTTCATTTTAATAATCTTTGGTGTTTAGGTATATGCATCTTAGGAAACATACATACACACAGATCATTTCTAACTCTTAAAAATTACTTTTCTAAATTCCCTATCCCCATGATACGACCTCAGCAATGTCATCTGAACTGGTGAAGGAAAAACTGTGGCCGGCTAGTTGATAGGCCTGAGTCTCAATTGCATCCAGCTTGGCTTGCATTTTGTGTTTCTGACTCTCACATTCTGCAGTACTGAAGCCGATTCCATTTAGTTCTAGCAAGGCTAAACAGTACTGAGAAGGCATTTCCACTTTACGGAAAACATCTGAAAGAAAAAAAGAAAATTAATATATTAATTCATCAATTAAGTGACTAGATCAGCAGTATTACCTAAACATAAGTAGAATTTGTCTAGAAAAATCCAGAGATGCAACCCAACCATCAGGATCCTGCCCCTGAGCAGCATCCCCAAAACAACAATGAAAGGGGAAAAGCACAGGCCACTTTAGCACTACTATTCTTGTCTATGCAGAGAATGGAAGAGCTGGCAATTTTGTGAGCAGATTAATTTACAAGTAACCACATTTACCCCAAGACAATGCTTCTGCTTCTACTCAGCAGGAGCAGGGTCACCAACCTTGTTTGCTGTGCCGGTTTCAAAGGGTTAGTTCTCTAAAATCATTTCCGAGATTCCTGTCTCCAGGGTACATGCATGCTTGCACAAAGAACTAAATACAGAGGTTTCATAATTTTCAGTGCTCTTCTCGAATAGTAAATTATAATATTCCTGAAGTAAGAATCAGTATCTTTCTATCTACTGACATCTCTCAGCAGAGTACACATTCTATTTCAGTTTTACCACAATGTTCATTACAATATTCATCACAAAGACACTCTATGAAAAGCGTGGAGTTGAGAACCACTGTGCATACTGTGTGTTTCTCCATTCTATATTTCCCTCTTGGAGACTCAAATTGCCTGTTAATAGATGAAAGGTTTTGAAAAAACCTGAAGCAAAGAAGACTTCTTCATTTTGTTTTAACTGAAAATCTCAAACTGATTTGACTTATTTGAACTAAGGGGGAGGCATGTGCTGGACTACAGTACAGTGGCTGGACCTAATGTCCATTAAAGGTTTTGCTATGCTGATACCTCAAGAGGCTCAGAGCAAGGGAATAATATTCTCTCAGTTAAATTTATCAGAGGCCAGAAAGGGTAAAGCCGGGACAGTCTTTTGGAGAACCGAACCAGATCAGACAGATACCTGCAGCAGACTTGAACGGCTGGTACCTGAGTGACCTCACCCTGAGGCATATTTGCCCTACTGAAGGACTAATTGTTAATGACTGACTTGGACTGCTAAAATGTACAGGAAGGGAGAAGTAACTCTCCAAATATTAAGTATGTATAAGAAACCATGGCCAAAAAAGCCCAAGGGGTGGTCTGCAGTGCAATGAGTTTCTCTATATATGGCCTTTCTGGCCTTAGGTTTATAATTCTGCCAAAAATCATTGGTTGGGCTGCAGTCTGCCCTGTGATTGCTCTATGTCACATGCCTTGCAGGGGTTGGTCAATTCGCTATGCAAATATTGATGTGTAAAACCACCTAATAGGATGAGAGATTTGCAGGGATTGGTCAGTTTGTGGTCCTGCTGGACAGGGCCATGTCTTGAAATTGACAAGGAACTTGCTTACATAAGCAGTGAACCCCACGGAGGTTTTCAGAGGCAAGAAAGAGAGAAAGGAAGAGGGAGCCTCCTAAAGCAGCTGTAATACAGGTCAAGAGCTGTAACACTGAAGATGGCATGAGACAGCACAAGCCCACAGAAAGAAAGAGAAAGCCAGTGGATGTCTCCAAGTAGGAGGCTTGCTAGCAGAGCTAAAGAGCTGTAACACTTGCCCAAGCAGGGCAGAGGCCTAAAGGGGCCTGGCAGCAGAGGTCTAGAGGGGCCTGGCGGCAGAGGCCTAGAGGGGCCTGGTGGCAGAGCCGATGGTGACAGCAGAAAGCTGCTGGTAGGAGGGTAGCAGCCAAGCAGACTGCTACACTGGCCATGTATTGGGCCAGTTAGCAGCAGAGAGGCCAACAACGAGGAGGCCAAAGGCAGAGGAGGGTGTGTGCACAGCCGAGAGAAAGGCCTTCCTGCGGGCACAGCTGAAAAGAGTTGTTGGTTAGCACAGCCAACTGAGAGCTGACAGCTGTCCTGGTTAGACGCTGTCCTGATTGATGAAACTGATCTTGTCTCCTGAGTTGTACACTATTACTTCCAAGTTGATCTTGACCCCAAGTTGTAGCCTGTTACTTCCACATAAGCCACATAACTGTGAGTATGGTTTGTGAGTTTTGTGTGGCCACTGCAACAAACCATCTAAGCCACTAAAGAAGCAGACAGTGCCGTGGGAGGAACAACTGGTGCCGGAAATGGTGAAAAAGTTGGAAGTGGAGGTTTGTCTGACCTCCATTTCGTAGGAACCAGCTTTGCACTGATCCTAATTCTTATCCCTCAGGGATTTAGGTGAGTTCAGATACTGCAATACAACTATAAAATCCTTTATTTAATATAATATCTATTAACATCCTGGAAAGTAAGCGTTCATAGAACGTACCATGGGAAATGCTGTCCTAAATCATTAAGAAAAAAAAATCACACCAACGACTTCAGCTTCCAGGACAATGGGTCAGTAGGACTCTGAGCAATGCCAGCCTACTCTCCCCGACCCCCAGCACACATTTTTTGAAGCATTGCTGGTCTCAAACAGCAGGAGAGATCTCCAGGAACCCACATAACCACAGCCAAAAACAAACAAATGAGAGCTAGCCACCTCTAACATCTAGGAGCAGGTACTGGGCAGTTAGGAGCCTGGCTTTGGAGGCCTGGAGCCAGAGGAGAAATTCATGAGGTACAAGGAACTAGGTCCAGGACAAGAGCAGTCAGAGCAGTACAAAGTCAGAGTGGCAGGGAGCCAGCTTGGAGTAAAGAGATTGAAGGGATAAAGATCCTTGAAATAGCACCAGGAGGAAAAGCCGAGTCTCAGACTTCTGTTCTGAGTCAAACGTTCAAGAAAGGCTAACATGGTCCTTGGATGCAGTAGGCAGCAGAGGCAGAAGCAAAACTTTTCTAGAGGAAGGCTTCCCCCTGCTGGGCTCCATAGATTAAATCCATATGAAGACATAAAGAGTATGAAAAACTACAAGATAGCAAAGAAGTAGGAATGAGACTCTGCAGAAACAACAAACAACACAGATTTAGACCCCCAAGAATTGCAGATATGGAATTATTAGACTCATAATAATAGGACGTATTCACAAAATTAAAGGATTTCATTACAGAGTCCAGAGTAAGATAGCAGTATGAGCAGCTGCACAGTGCCACCCTCCCACCCCACAAAATGCCAAAAAAAAGAAACAAAAAAATAAAAAACAAGCAGAGACTGGCAGAACCAACTTTGTCAGAACTCTGGAAACCAGTCCAAGTGTTACAACAAAGGGTTAAGCAGATGCTGAATCAATAAAAAGGTAACATCTAAGCAGTAAGAAAGCTTTGGTTTTCTAGTTGCCTGCTCCTCACCCCTTCCTTGACTTGGCATGGCAATCTTAAAGCTGCGGCAACTTACAAGCCCCTCTTTTTACAGATGAAATTGCCGTCTTTAATTACTGGAACAGTCTCCTCACAAACAGATTGAAAGTATGTAATTCTGAAAACAGTCACGCCCATTTATGTTTGTATTGTGTGTGGCTGCTTTGGGGCTACAGTGGCAGAGTTGAGTATTTGTGATAGAGACCATCTCATCTGGAAAGCCACAAATATTTACTATCTGGCCCTTTAAATAAAAAAGTTTGTCAACCCTGGCACTAGATAATCCAAAGGTAGGGTCTGCATAAAATGTGTAATTTACCCATTTGTGACAAATAGTGTTTAAGTATATAACCATCCTCAGTCTGTAGCATCATAAAAATGCCAGATAATTTGTTTTACCTTGAAGATTTTCCTTCTGCAACAAAGAATTGAGTTGATTCATAGAGTTGAAGACGAGAATGGACTCTACAGACGCTCTGTATCGCCCGGAGTGCTCAGTGCTAACATTCAGCCCCAGGCTCTGAATTCCTTGGCCGGTCTCCATTCCTTCCAGGAGTGGAAGTGCGTGAGGAAAAAAGCTGGTAACTATGCTGTGAAGAGTCGGCTCCTTAGAATCTGGATCTAATAACCAGCATGCCACCTGAATTGGATTGTAATATGAATACTGTATCCTTACATTAAATGGGATAAAAAGAAGCTCATTTTTCTATTTTCACTTAACACTTATTCAGTGGTCTTCCCAGGAGAAGAGACAGAAAGGATAATTATGATAGGATTCATTTCTTTGTATCAATTAGAGCAGTGGTCTTCAAAGAAGGAAAGTTACAACTTTTCCATTACTGCAATGCTTCTGCTGAACCAAGTGCCTCTCAGCTAACTAAAACCATGTGTCTGAAAATCCATATGTATTCTTCTCCACTAAGGCTGATTTAACTAAGCTACTATAATAAAGTGGAGCCTATATAGTTTAAGGTTTGTGTAGTTCTCTCAACATCAGAAGCAATGAGGCATAAATGTTTTACCACAAAAAGTTCATAACCAGAGTTTTAAAAAATCTCTAGACTTTTCCCTCAGGATGAGGGCCTGTCACCAGGACCATCCAACTGGTCATTTGATTGCTTTTTTTAGCTTCCTGGTGAGACTAGAAGATGTGTAGTTTTAATACTATATCTAGGAGATAATGAACTGAATTTAGAATAAGAAAATCTAAGCTTTGTTCATAATTCTGACAATTACTATATGACTCAGTTATTTCTTTTGTAAGTTAAGAACGAAGTTTTGTAATGGGGTACTGGATAAGATGATCTGATATAAAAGTTGGCAAATGTTGCTTATAAAGGCAAGATTTCATAAACAATAGTTTATCATCTTAATATCAAAAATGTTATGATTAACAAAACTAAGTATGAAATATTTCAAGTAGTTTAAGACAAAGGTGTTACATAAATCTGAGATGTTACTGTAGTTTTAATGAGAGGCTCATATTACTCGTATTCTCGTTTCAGACTCCCGAGCATCCAAATTAAGTGACAACCTTTTATATCCAGGAAATATCAGTTTAGAAACTATATGGAATTTATCTGATGCTGTCTTCAAAAATCTTTGCAAAAAAATTTAAAAAAGGTAAAGGAACTAAAAATTATCCCATTATTATTGACTATATTGATAACAACTACCAACTAGTTACATTTCCCTACTCTAAATTAATATTCCATATCTCATGCATCCAGTATCAACAGGGAAAAAAGTGACATTTTTATTCCTTTGAGGACTATGATATTAAAAATAAATATGTTACAAAAATGTATTATACTATTAAGTGTATATTATTGTTGTGTGTCATTGAGTCAATTGCCACTCATAGCGACCCTATATGACAGAGTAGAACTGCCCCATAGGGTTTTCTAGGCTGTAATCTTTATGCGAGCAGATCACCAGGTCTTTTCTCCCACAGAGCTGCTGGATGGGTTCGAACCACCAATCTTTCGTTTATCAGCCAAACGTTTAATCACTGTGCCATCAGAGCTCCTTATTAATGTTTGCTACTAAAATATAGGAGCATTCTCAGGGGCTATTAAGGTGATTTGTCCCTATGACAAATGGTCCCTAACTACTACCCCTTTTGACTTATATCCACCTACTTTTCCTATTTTCTGCCTCCACTTTCACAAATATTTGAAACATCCTGCTATCATATAACTAAATCTAACAGTTCTCCTTTCACTTCTAATTTACCATGGGCCAGGAAGCTTAGAATTTATGACCAGAATAAAAAATTTTTAAACCTCTGAGGATGAAGAACTAGATGGTGCCTGCCTACCACAACTGAACGTTCTGATCAGGAACACAATAAACAAATTCTGATAAAAAGAGATAAAAATGTGGAACAGAACTTCAAAAATTTAAAGAATACAGACTTACTGGACCTATTAAGGCTGGAGGAGTCCCTGAGACTATGGCCTTGAGTTGCTCTTCAAACCTTGAATTGAAACTATCCCCTAAGACACATTTAAACTAAGAAACAGTTTAGTCCAAAGAGTAAAGATTCTCACGCTTGAGTATTACATTTCTTCAAAAAAAACAAAAATTATCTATATAATACCAAAGGGTCAACAGCTATTTTAAAGCATGATAAGGCTGGAGAGGGGGGCAGGGAGATTAAATAAATGGAAGTGAAACAACTAAACAGAAATAATAAGAATGTTGACACGATGTGAAGACAGTAAGCAATGTCACTGATCAATATGTCTAGAAACTGTGGGATGGAGTGGGTTTTGCCATGTATATTTTCATCAACAATAAAATAAAATTTAAAAAACCCTGAGGAAAGGTATGAACTTTCGGGCTTGGAATTTATGACACTTCTTTTATCTACACAGAGGCATTTGTGCATGCTTTTCTGTTCTGGTGGGTAAGATTTCTAGATAAAGGAATGACTACTCTAAAAGACTTAATTGCATTATTGGAGCTAAACGAACACCAAGTCATTTGAGAATTAGCCCTCAACACTAATAATGTTTTTGTTTTTGTTTAAAGTATGTAAAAATTAAATAAGATATGGAACCTTTGGATCTTCGTAACTTTGCTCCAGGGAAATGCCACAAGACAGAAGAAGAATTTTATAGCTCTGGATGAAGTCATAGACGATAACAGAACGTTCTTTATCAGAATCCTTTTGCAAGCAGGATTGAAGGTGCCACATCCTGTCTTTCACAGTCAGGCCTGGATCCAGAGAAGGTGGTGCCAAACTAGCACTGATTTCTAAAAAATAAGTTTTAAGGCAAAGTGATACGCATTCATTTCAAGCAGCAACCTTTAGTGGAAAGACTGAAAAAGATTCAGAAGCCTTAGGTTCTGGTTCCATGTGACCACTAATTCAACATGAACTTACTCAGGTCCTATCAGCTATCTAGACAGAAGTACCTCATAATCTAAAAATTATTGTTTGGGCCAGATGATTTATAATGCTGTATTTAATCGTTGTTGTGTGCCATCAAGTTGATTCTGACTCATAGCAACTCTAAATGACAGAGTAGAGCTGCCCTATAGGTTTGTAAGCTGAAATCTTTACAGGAGCAGATCGCTAGGTCTTTTCTTCCATGGAGTGGCTGGTGTGTGTGAACCGTAAACCTTTCGGTTAGCAGCTAAGCACTTAACCATTGTGCCACCAGGGTAGGAGAAAAATCTAAATATCAAGACTTCTAAAAAAATTATGTTTCCTGTTAAAGACAGGAAAGATATTTTGAAATGAATTTTTAAGGAACTTCTTTTAAAGGGGCAATTAGTATGAACACTTAATGTTACATCTAAAATAAAAGAAGTACAAGTAATTACTCACCCTAGCATATTTTCCTGCAAAACAACTAAAAATATTTCATGCTTACTCAGCAACAGACACTACAGAGCATCCTTTAAAATGTTCCTTTATTAAATTTTTGTATGAGAGACTAACTTGAATTGTAAACTTTCACTTAAAGCACAATAAAAATAAAAAATAAAATGTTCCTTTATTAATTTTGCTCCTGTTGAAAAACAATCAATCATCTGGATAACCAACAACCATCATCATATCACAAGGTATTTCCGGATCATATCTTTTCAATTGCAAAGATTTCTCCCAGGCTGTGTGATGCAACTAATGTGCGCTCTAGGTCATCACTGCCTCTAGATTAGTTCCAAATCCAGCCAATGAGAGAAAAAGACTAAAAAGAAACCGCTACAACCCAGTCTTCAAAATCAAATTCTAGGGTGGACAGGGAGCCCCTGAGGCTCCATTGCCCCCTCAGAAAAGAAAACACAGTATTAGCAGCCCTATGTGACAGGCAGCGGAGCGTGACGGTGGTGCTTTTTAAAACATTCATTCTAGTTAATGTATGGGTAATGTACACAACTAGCGAGTCTCCAAAACAAACTTTTTTTAAAAAATCTTACAGATAAACTCTAGGTAAATATCAGGAAATTATTCTCAAAAAACAAGATCACTATCCTACTAGAGATTACATTAAAATTACATAGTGACTTGGCCAAATAGTGATTACTCACCAGAATGCTTTTGTTCCTTCTGTAATGATAAATAATAGGCATCGCTTCCACCCCAGCACACTGCCAGTCCAACCACCAAGACGTCATCAGAGTCTTTAACAGGAAATCCATCATCTCTCGGAGGAGTTTCTTGAAGTGAACTAACTAAGTAAATTAAAAAGTGAAATAGTCAAATCTCTAGAAATAAAACCATTAAACTGATCGTTAAAACAATGATAATAAAAAAAAACTATTTGAAAAATACTCAAAACTTTATCAACAAATTCATTCATAAACACAGAAATTTAAGAAATCTGATCAAACCTCTGATTTCTACAACAGGTTGTCAGACTGACTACAGCTATTCCCCATGGTCCAGAATCCAGAGCTCATGATAATACAGGAATATACATGGCATCATTTGACCAAAAGGTTCAACTATCTGAAAACTTGGAAGAGCTCTGTGAGGCTTGGGGATTAACATTTCAATATAGAATTCATGACTATCACTGGAGGTCCAAGTTCTACTTGAGGTAAGTCTTAGAAAATGTGACTAACGCACATGCCAAAAAATATATGGCCTGTTTGCTGTGTATTTTTGTGATGAGTGAACAAGGATATCACAATTTAAGAGGAGATAATATATGGACACTGATGATTAATAAATATCATTATGTCACACCATAAGGATATCATAAAATAAATATATATTATCTTAATTTTTATAAACTTACTATATTCCAACTAATAGAATACACATTACATGCACCCTTTATACCAGAAGGTAACTATTATTAATCTAACCATGCTGAATCTAATAAGCCTGTTCTACGCATGAACTATTGAGAAACATTACATAAGAAACTTATTAACTGCTGAATAAACTTATTGTATTTAATATTCAGTACAGAAAAGTCTAAATCTCATCTTATTCCACTGACTGGGTTACAGATAAGTGTGAAAAAATAAAAATTAAAAAAAAAAACTTACCTTGCTTAAATCTACCACCAATAGTAGCAGTTTTAGAAGACGTCAAACTACTGATTTTTTCACAAGCCAGTGAGATAGAAAATCGCTTTTTACACTGCCACTCCTTAATAAATGTTTGAAAGAGAGCTTGGTCGCTGGCTACATCAATTATGGTCAAACTCTCTGAACTGCATGAGGTTGGAGTTAAGTACAATTCGTCCTGGGATAGCTGCAGTGAAAAACTTGTGCCTCTAATAGGACTGTCTTCTTTGAAACCATCCCTGTTCTCTGGATTTAAATCATGATTTTCAGTATCTGAGGGTGAACCACATGAATAACTTACACCAGGTTGTAAAACACTGCAGGTTTTCTGAAGTTTTACAGAAGATGGTCCAAGAATTCCTGGAAATGCCAGCTTAGAAGCAGATGCTGGAGTGGGTGTCGGAGGAATGAGACCATTATCATCAGCTGCACAGCTTTCTTTACTGGACAAGAGGGGTGGAGCTTCACCATGAACGGCATTGTTCGCTAGTGCCTCAATCTTGCTTTTTATTTCAATATTAGGGGAAAATGAAATTCCCTGCATTTGTTTTGTCTCCAAATTTGAAATCACTTCTTGTTTGTCATTTAACTCTGCACTTTTTCCTTTCAAACTAGATAGGTTTATAGTCCTTAATTTTAGATTTTCATTTTCTAGAGGACTGGACACTTTATCTAAAACCATTTGCAGTCCTGGACTTAAATCAAATGATGTCCCTGACCATATGAATGAATTATTTTGCACCGTCTCAGTTAATTTGGATTTTTGATCCCTTTCATCTTGATCTCCTCCAACTGCTTCTGTACCAGGGTGACCATTACCTAAAATCCCCGGATCACTTAGTTCTAATGCTTCAAGAGATACTGCAGTATTATGTTTCTCTTGAACAGGAAATATATCTACATTGTCCAAGGCTTCAACCATCTGAACAGAATCCATTTCTGAAAATGTAAGAGACTCATCACTGAAACAGATCAGTTGCTGCTGAACATCTTGATTCTCGTTCATATGTGATTTTTTAATTGGACCCTCTGGTTGTAGACACAAAGAATTAATGAGATGCTTCACCATTACTTCAGAAGGAAGAGGTTCTTTCACTTGTACATCAGGTTGCTGTTTTACTGGGGAGTCTTCACTGAAACTGTCAAATAGTAAAGCATCACTTGTATTTAAACTTGTTTCAGAAACTGGCAGACCTACTTCAATATCAGTGGGAGTGCTCTGCTGAGGAACCAGGGGAATGACTGGCATCACAATTTCTTGTGTTCGATAACCTTGAAGAAAACTATTTAACTGGGAGTCAGTAACAGAAAGTTCATTCCCTTTAAAACAAAGCCCATTTTCCCCCAGCAGTATTGGAGAATGAAAATTTGGACTTTGTGGAGTCAGTATATCGATCCCATGTGAACCAGTGCTTTGTTTCATAGTATCTACAGTCTTAAGTTCCAAATGATCTGCACTGGTCACTCCTACAGAATGCCGTTCACCAGGAAAAGTCATGTGAATCCCATTCTGTAAAGAGCTAGTTAAGCTACGTTTGTCTAAGCTCTTTGGCATCATCCCTGCTGCCAGGGTGGTGTCCTTCGCTCCTTCTTGTTTGGCATTTTCAGTTGCCATCTGTTGTATTATTTTCTCTGACTGAGTATCCAGGTATAAACTATCTTCAAAATCACAGAGGGCTAAGCCTAAGTCAGGAATATGATTATTTTTAGTTTTGTTTGCTGCATAAGTATCTGTTTTTTCTTGTTTTTGAGAGGTATTTAGAAAATTCTCATGCTGGCCTCCTGCTTTACCATATGTTCCAGATGATAGAAGTATTCCACTCGGTATCTCAGTGCTACTTATATTACCTCCTAATGCCTGAAAATTACTTGGTTTCTTTTCCTCCGTATTGAACTGTACATTTTCACATTTGATATTAGCAACGTTTGAGTCTCCACACATATGATTGCTGACTGCCTCATGAGGCCTTTGTCCCTCTGTTATTTTTCTCTGTTTTGTGTAAGTGTTTGTCTGTTTATCAGGCTGCTTTTCAGAGCACTGGTTAACTGGACGGCTATGTCGGTGCTTCACATAAACATTGTGCTTTTTCGAATCATTTTGTATCAGCACATTGTTTATTTTTTCTGTATCAACAACAGCTAATCCGCTTCCATTTTCACTAACCACACTAGTAGCTTGACAAGTCACTTTGTTACTCTGAGGCCCTGTGATAAAATGTTCCACAAGAGCATCACTAGTTACTGTTCTGTTCCTTGAACAACGTTGCTCTGTTTGTGATGGGAATGATGTTTTGTTATATTTTTCCTCAGCACAGAGAGATACATTTTTAGCAAATGACCCTGGACTTCTCAATTCCATATTCTTCTCATCTAAGATTAAGGGATCTTCACAACAAATAGGATCAGACACAGTGTGTCCTTGTAAATCAGTTCTATGCATCCCAGAGTCTTTCAAAGGGCTCCTGTCTCCTGATTGTTTTAGATGCTTACTTGGTTTCCAAGATTGGAAGGTTGTGCTCAACTTTTCTGAACTGAAATTCAAAGCTTCTTTTTTTGTCTTTTCAGATGAAAAAGTCTGAACAACTTTCTTAGTGCTTGTTTTTTCCTCCTTGAGAGAGCCGCCTAGCTGCTCTCTACTAATGTTCAAAGAAGGCCGTTTTCTTGCTCTGGAAACAGAATGTACATGACGTTCTTGATTCCCATTCTGGAGCTTGTAAGAGGAACTTGTATGCTCTCTACTTTTATTGAAATCTTGTACTGTATTTGGTGAATGGTTAACACAAGAATCGCTAATTGTTACTGTGTTACTTTTTTTCTTTGATGTTGTTAATCTTTTACAAGAACTCTTAGTTTGGGTAATAAATGTGTGTTCCTCTCTGTCTGACTCACTGCTGGTCAATGAATGTGTATCGAAATTTAAAAGGGAATTTGGATTCCACTGCACTCCCATGTCGACTAAGTCCTGCTGCAGAATCATTCTGGCTTCTTCCACTATAAGGACTGCTGCCTCCCTTTCTGTTAAGCCTTTTCTGCCAGCCACCCAAATAGTTCGCCTTTTCCGACGTTCTTCAACTGCGTCCTCTTCCTCATCCACTGCCTTTCGGGCACTATACAGGGAGATACGAGAATAAAGGGAATTAATGCATTCATTCACTCATTCCTACAACAAAATGTTTATGAAGCATTCAATCTTAGATGTTCTAAGAATTAAAGAAATAGCACTGAACGAGACAGAAATACATCTGCTCTCACGGAGCTTACATTCTAGTTGGGGAAATTAGAAAATAAACAAATGTTTAAAATGCACTATATGTCAATCAGTGACAGGAGCTGTGTGTAAAAATGAAGCAGGAGAGGGAGAGATATCACCATGAAGGGTGGGTGTTGCCACAATTTTTAAATCACATAAGGGAAGGCCTCTTAAAATAGGCTATTTAAGCTGACGCATAAGGAAAGTGAGGGGCATAAAACTTTAATAAAAAACTGATCCTCCTGTACAGTGTGAACTCTGAACAAAATCTCTGAAGGGGCTGGAGAGTGAGCAAAAGAAAGCAGACACTGGAGGGGAGTGAGACTGAGAAGGAAGAAGTGGCAATGGGTGAACTTTCACGCTTATCACCTGAAGGCAGACCCAGTCAGAACCAGGGAGGGTGTGTTATGCATTGAAATATGTCCCCCCAAAAGATATGTTGAAGTCCTAACCTGTGAACAGGAACTTGTTTAGAAATAGGGTCTTTGCAGATGCCATCAGCTAAGTTAACCTGAGGTTTCACTGGAGTAGAGTGGGTCCTAATCCAATGAGTGGCATCCTTATAAGAAAGCAGAGACAAGAGACAGAAGGAGGCATGTGAGGATGTAACAACAGAGTTAGCTGTAGCTGCAAGCTAAGGCAGGCCTGGGGCTACCAGAAGCTGAGAAAGACAAGAAAGGATGTTTCCCTAGAGCCTCTGGAGACGGCGTGGCCCTGCTGACACCTAAATTCAGATTTCTTGCCTCCAGAAGGGTGAGACAATAAATTTTTGCCATTTGAAGCCACTCACTTGTGATACTTTGTTACGGCAGCCCTAGAAAATTAATACAGGGTGGCCAAAAGCTTAGGTACAAACCTGGAGTCTGTTAACAGAGTGATTAACAAAGTTCAGGGTGACTAACAGAATTCATGACAGAGCTCAAGGTGTCATTAGGAGTTAGAAATAGAAGAGGGAAAGTCCAGAAATAAGAGCCCAAGAAGGAGGGCCCCAAATTCTTCATATAAACTCTGCCCAAATTACTGGCTGACCTCTAAACTATGCAAATATAGGCAGACTCCAAGCAGCCAGAGAAATCCAAACAACCAACTGGAGATTTGAGCTACTACCCACCACAGGAAGACAAAGTTTGGAGTTTCAGTTCAGCCAAGCTAATTGCCTGGTAAAACAAAATATCAATATCTTCAGGATAACATGACAGAGTCTAGACTCTAAAATGTCAAATATATACGTAACCGAAGTACCAGAAGAAGAGAGATGACATGGGTCATAAAATTTATCTGAAGATTAGTGGCCAAGATACTTCTGCTTCCAACCAAGATGTAGTAATACTGGCTGATTTATCCTCTCACCTTAAATAACTAAAAATTGAGACTAGTTCATAAAAGACATTGCAGCTTCCACTTTGCTGTCTTTTGAATCACGAGGACCCGCAAGCACCTACAGAGAGGTCCGTGTGGCACAAAACACCACTTGTCAGTCTTTGAGAGAGTCGTCTTAGAAGCAGATCCAAGTCAAGCCTTCAGAAAACCACAGCCTAATGAGACCCCAAACCAGAACCACTAAGCTAAGCTGCTCCCAAATCCCTGACTCACAGGAACTGTGAGATCATATATATTGTTATTTTTAAGCAACTAATTTTTAAAGTAATTTGTTATGCATCTATAGATAACTAATATGAATAGTGAAACTATTAAGCTTTAAAGATATGGGAAAAAATCTCAAGGCCTCCACGAAAAAGATCAAATAACTTACAAGGAAAAAAAAAATTCAGTGTAAGTTGGGACCAAGGATTTTATATCCAGTCAAGCTGTGTGCTTTAATATCAAAGTTACAGAAAAACAGTTTTAAACACACAAGAACTGAGGGGAATTCTGTACTATAAGCCCTTCTTGAAGAATCTACTAGTTTCATCTAACCAAAAGATGACTAGGAATTCTGCAGCAAAAAGACTGACGGTAACAATTTTAATTAATAAACCTGTAGATTATATGTTTCCAACCCCAACCCCCACTAAGGTGGGGATGAGGGTGGAAAATTAATGTACAAATGTTATATACTGAGACAAAGTAAAAATAATGCACTTTAAAAATGAGTGGAGAAGGCAAAGGGAAAAAGAAAAGTAAAATAAGCTCATTGATGGTTATTCAAGCAATAGGTAAGAGTTAAACACCATTAAAATCCTGACAAACTAGATAGTGAAAAGTGCAAACATACCCATTAGGACAAAACTACACACTTTCCTAAATATAAAAATAGAACAATAAATACCCAACAGGTCGAGAAGGAAACATAACAAAATACCACATAATACATATAATTACAAAATAATTTAAGAAAGCTGAGGCCAAAAACATCATTTATATCAATAAATGTAAATTGGATTGAATCATCTATCAAAAGCAGAAAAAGATTTTCCATTTGGCTCAGAAAGCAAAAGTTAAATACATCTAAACGTTGTACTCCCCCCCCCCGCCCCCACAAGCATATCTAAAACAAAAGGTTAAAAATTAAAGGATAGACAAAGAAATTCCCAAACAAAGGGAAATAAGAAGCAAACAGTGAAAGATATTCTGATAGCAGATAAAACAGAATTCAAGCCAAAAGTATTAAACATGACAAAGAATTGTATAATTCAATGCTAAGAACCACAATCATAATAAAGACAACTATGACTATCTACACACCAAATAATAAGCAAATACTTTTATGAAGCAAATACTATAGGAGATACAAGGAGACAAAGGGAGAAGCAAACTAATAACAGTAGACTTTAACATATCATCCTCATTACTGAAGTGGGTGGAGGTGGAATAAATAAGAATTAAGACAACCTAATGAACACCATCAATACGGTAGACTTTACAAATATATTTCAAATGTTACACCTGTACAGTAGAGAATACATCTAGTCTCTATTGATCATATTATAGGTCACAAAGAAACAAAATCCTTGATTTTCTTTTTAATATATATGAAATAGACAAACCACTAGCTAACTTGATCAAGAAAAAAACAGGGAGAAAGTACAAATTTACAAAATAAGAAAAGACAAAGGGAATAACCATTGAAATAGAAGAAATATTTAAAATTCATAAGAGACTAGTTTATAGACCTCTCAGATAACTTCCTAAGGAAATATAGATTACCAAAATTGACTCAGTTAGAGATAGAAAGCTTAAAGAGATTAATTTCAGAAAAAATAGAGAAAGTTATCAAGGAACTAACAGGAGGCTAAGATGGTATCTTAGGGTAATCATAACAAACCTTCAACTAGACAGTCCCAAGACTCCATAAATTGTTGCAGAGCATTGAAAATGAAGAAAAACTTCCTAATTGTTTTCTATGTGGAGGCAAGTCAAACATTGATGACAATACTTGAATAAAGATAATGCAAAAAAAGAAAAAGACCAGAAAACTACAGACCAATATTATTAATGAAAATCAACGCAAAAGTACACTAAATTAAATATTAGCAAAGAGAATCCAACCTCACACTAAAAACTTATACCATAATCAAGTGAGATTTATTCCAGGAATGCAAGAGTGATTGAATATTAGGAAAACTATATTAAGCGATCTGCTGCCAACCAAAAAGTCAGCAGTTCAAGCCCACCAGCCACTCCGTGGAAGAAAGATGTAGCAGTCTGCTTCCGTAAAGATTACAGCCTTGGAAACCTTATGTGGCAGTTCTACTCTGTCCTATAGGGTTGCTATGAGTTGGAATAAACTCAACGGCAAGGGATTTTAGTTTATTAATGTATTACACTGTGCTTGTAGATATAAGGGAAGGTAATACTATGATTATCTCTATAGATGCTGAAAAAGCCCTTGACAAAACTCAACACCTACTCCCGATTTTTATAAAAAGCATTCAAGAAAATTGTAATAAATGAACATTTTCTTAAACTGATAAAATATATATACCATAGTCCTAAAGCCAGTAACTTACTGGGGTAACACCAGAGGCATGTCCACTAAGGTAACAAAGCAAAAATGCCCACTATCTCTACTACTGTTCAATATTGTATAAGCAGTATTAGCTAATACAATTAGACAAAATAAGTTAGAGACATAAGAATTGATAAGGAAGAACAAATGTATCTCTATTTGCAGATTACCTTGCAATCTCTGTTTCATGCAGGGGAAGGCTTTCTATGATGCAAAATTAAGAGGCAAAAAAAGAAAAGACTGATAAAAATAAATAGATAGAAAAATAATAAAAAATCTATACGGCAAAAACACAACAAAAAAAGTCAAAAGCATTGATAAATTATGAGAAAATATTTGCAATGTACATAGCAAATAAAGAGCAAAGAACCTTAATCTATTTTTAAAAATAATAATAACTTGTTAAAAAGAACCAGAAAGGACCAAACAAAAACAGGGAAAAAACATAACCAGATAATTCCCAAAGAAAGATATAAAAATGACCCTGAAATATATGAAAAGATGTTCAACATCACTCATAATCAGAGAAATGTAAGTTAAAACCATACTGAGATAAAAATTTTCCCCTATCACACTGACAAAAATGAAAATCCATGACAACAGATTCTGTTGGCCAGGCTGTGGGTGCAGAATATTCTCATAAATTGCTGGTGAGAACTCAAATTCGTCTACAGGGCAATTTGAAATATCTAATAAAACTACACACGCACTTACTTTTGAATCAAAAATCCCAGGTTTAGGAATTTACCCTGAAGAAACATCTCCAACAATATGAAAATACATATTTACAAGGTAATTCACTGCAGATTTTTGGTAATTGAAAAATACTGCAGACACTCTGAGTGCCAGATGAGTTTTCCAGCTCTTGTGTAGTAAGCACTAAAAGGAAAAGGTGGCCACCAGACATA